GGGAGCTGCTGGTATTGGCAGATCTAGGCATTCCTTTGGTGCTAATCTAGACCATTAAGTCTGGATGCAAGTCAGGTTCTACAGCTGGGTCTACCCCAGATGTTCAGAACGAGTCCTGGCATCTGCTCCAGGTGGTTGGATTAAATTAGCAGATAATATAATAGGAGCGCTAAATCCTCATGGTAACAAGTCGTGTGCAGCTTTATCTTGTAATACTTTTATAGCAAGTATAGAGCTCCTGAAAGCAGCTAGGAGCCCCTGAAATAAAAGTTCTGTTCCCTTGTCTATTACAGGACAGAATCTTCAGGATTCCTTCCAGGTTGATCTTCGGTCTGTGTATGTCAGGAAATTATTGTAAAGGTTATATTTACCAGGAAACCTGTTAGCTGAGCCCCCCAGATCATACCTGAATGTCTGGGGATGAACAAGAAAGCATAAAAGTCCTGGAACTGGGAGGAACATTATGTCCTGACTGTGGTGAAGGATAAAGCATCTGAGCAAATGGACCTTCATCTTTTGCTGTAGTGAAGGTAAAAACCAACCTACTTTACTTTGAAACACCCTTCCAGTAGGATGACAGAGAAAGTTTCTGGTAGAACCTTCTTTTCCTTCTCTGTCAGCATCTTCATTTAGATGGCTGTCGTGTGATAGCTCTCTGTTCTAATGATCAGGCACTTAAAGGCTAATTAGTGCAAATTTTTAAATTTCAGGTGTCTAATGCATCCAGAAATGCAATAGAAAAGTGTTCTTTCTAATGTGCTATCTTGGGTAGAGGTGGAGAAAACCTGAAATTAATTCTTAACCTCTAGTTTTATGGCTTAGAAGAGACAAGATGAACCATCCATCTATGACCACATTATGTAAAATGTTTAGGTCTCCCAGGGCAAGTGAAGTCCCCACACCCTGTCAGTTCTCATATGCAAGGAGAATATGTATGACCATCTAGTCCTACATATTTACCTTTGCTCTAGGTTGCATTCAAATATTTTACCCAAGCAATGTCCTTAAGCAGACACTGCCCTTAAGGCAGGGATATAAGCAACTTGATTTGTTTGATCTATAAATCGAACACGTTTTGTGCAAGGAGATGTTGTGTGCAAGGCACTTTCTTCTTTTAGAGATGATGTATATTTTGTCATTGTTTATTGATACATTAACAATATAGTCAGATTTGAAACAATATGGTTAGATGCTTTCTCTAAATATACAGAGGAGCCATTAGCAATTATATGTTTTAATGTAATTGCTGATGTTTTGTAAAGCTGTCCTATTTATTTCCAGCATTGGGCATAAACACTGCTCAGAAATCTGCATACCTTTCTGTCCTATATGATGCCAAAGCATCAACATTTCTAGAGACTTAAGAGAACAACTAAGTCTTGGGGAGAGGCTTGCTTCCTTCATGTATGCTTGCCTTGCTTAGAGAATTAGATGGGTTATTTGCTTCATGCAGTGAGGGCCAAATCTTCCTTCTGCAACTGCCTGCTTCAGTGGGAGTCTTGCTTGGGGAAAGGATTCTGAATTTTTCTGGTCAGAAAGAAGCTATTCCTTTTATTGGATCAGAAAAGCATGCCGTTCTGTGTGCAGCAATTAAATATCCCTCTCACTGTGAAAGAGACAAACCATCACTTTAGATTAGTTCTCTTTAAGATGTTTTTCGCTTTGCCATTAGAGTAATTTAACCTTATCCCTGCCTGAGAATTCTTATTTGCTCTATGCCAGGAGGGCAGATATGTGTGTACTTACTGAATATGTGTCATATGCTATCCTGCCACAGAGCATTAGTGAGCAATGCTTTTACATAGACTGCAGGCCACATTTTGCTATCAAAAGACAAAACGTGTGTATGTAGGAAGAGAGAGAGATATGAATTACGAAAATTTTATATCTCTGAAATCTGGTTCTACAGCTGTCAGAATACATGTAGTGTTTGCAGCCTTTTATTGCCATATATGAAGTGGTTCCATAGCCTGAGGAAGAACAGGCTTCAGCTGCAGAAAAGGCACCCACGTCTGTACTCATGCCCTTTGTACACCAGCACTGCACTTCAGAGAGCAGAGAAATTTCAGAGGATGGGTAGAAGAGGATGAACACAGCTCCCTAGCAAGTTGTGGAAACAAGGTGAATGGTGCCAAGCAAATTAACCAGGGCCAGACTAACTTAGACTCAGGAAAATTGTCGGGATTCTAAAGACACTGGCCCATTGGTCTTATTGTGTATCCCAACAGTTGCAGTGTCTGGTTTTTTTTTGTCTAATGTGCACATGAGGGTGAGATTGGAAAGAAGAGTGTGTATCAATTTCAGAACAAAGGAAATCTTTTGTCCAGCAACTGTCCTGTCTAAATAAGGTGGTCATGGGCCTGAAAAATCTTGGGATATTTTCATCAGCTGTTCACCTGCTGACATCCTGACATATAAGGTCCAAGTGAGCTCATGTTTCTCATTTTCCTTTTTCAGTCATCATTTATGAATTGGAATTTAAGATTTCAGACTCACAGTTCCCGTTGTGATGGTTTGCTATGACCTAAAGATAATTTCATCAGTGATTTAGACTTGAAAGTAATCTTTCTGCTTTGAGAACACTCCTGGTTCCACTGGTTTTGCATTTTGAGGCAGAGGAAGGAGTTGATGGTAAGCTGTAGGAAGTCTCTCTCAAACCAGCGGACACCTTCTGCACAGGAGAAAGAAGCAAACCTCTGGTAGTATAACTGCCATAATTCAGTAAGTGCTAACCTCACATTGCATATGTTGACAGCTCCTGAGTACTTGAGGGTCAAGGAATCAATTGCTACAGAAAATTGTTGACAATTTAAGCTAATGAATAAATTTAGGGTCAGGATCCCTTCAACTACACTACTTGGGGAATGAATTTTACTGAATACATAATTTTCTCAGCTACACTGGACAAGTGACATAGGAATTGGATTGCCATCCATCACCAGAAGAGAAGAGAAATGCAGCCTACATGAAACCACAATCCCTGAGACCTAGAGAAGTTTCACCCCAACCTCTCAATAGGTTTCTGGTAAAAGAAAATGTGAAACAGAAGAGCAGGTAATGACAGTATCAGCCTTAAAAAATAAGGCCAGGTGCCAAAGTTTCATTTTAGTAGCGAGTCTGACCCAAACTCCATCCTGTCTACACACAAAAGATCCTTCCCTGAGTCAAGTTAAGCTTCAACCTATGCAGCATGCAAGGCTGTCAGGGAGAGCCAGTGGCACTCAACTTTCAATTTTGCAGCTAACTCAGCTGCCTTTTAACTGGGCACATGGCAACTCGAGCTGGACTTAGTGGCATGCATGTTCCTATCTATCTGTCCTAGGTTGTCCCACTTATATGTAAGAAAGACATTTTGTAAAGCAGGATTTTTCCATTTGTGGTCAAGGTATCTCTGTGAACCTACAGACTGCTTCTTAGGGGATCCGTCAAAGCAGACCAAGCCAGCCTACTGTCAGCGCACTTACGTTCAATTTACAAGATTCTGAAACCTCCCAACTGAAAACATTTAAGTGTCCACAAATCAAACTTGAAAACTTTTGTTATAAAGAAATTCCTGTCTTTATGTCCTTGTACTCCCTCAATCATCTTTAGTAGCCCCTTCATCAGCTCTACCTGCTCCTTATTTCCTATCACCTAGATCAAACTCAGAGTGTAGTGCACACATTACACATCAGGATCACCGTAAGAAGCAGAAACACAAAAAAAATGTTTGTCAGTGCAAAAGTAAATGGCATATCTATATGAAGGTGGAGAATCCAGGTAGATCAAATCAATTTTTTCCCCAAACAGTCTTGAAAACTGTCAAAATAGGGTGCATACAATAAAGATAAAATAAAATGCTTTCTTTCTTCCTGGTGTGGCTGCCTGCAGTTCAAAGTTAGTTTCCAAGCTGCAGAAAGTTGCTTTTGGTTCTCCAGAGGTGTTTTTGCTGGTGCTCCCCACATTCCCTTGCAGTAACTAGTTGAAAACTGTGTATCTAGGGCCTTCTAACAAAGCCTCTAGGTATTTTATTGTACCTTACAATGCTTTTAATTGAAAAACATCCTTTAAACTGATTTCCACAGTTGGATTTTTCTCCTTGCAAAATGTAGGTTTGCTTGTTTTTCTAGAAGAGAGTATTTCCATCTACTGATGATAATTGCCAGGCATTACTAGGCAGCTGCAGTATCTGGCTTCAGAGGATGCAGACTTCTGGGGTGGTGTTGCCTCTTGCTTTATATATGTGTACATATGTATTTAAGCATATATGAATATTTCAGCAGTGTGAGGGTGTGATGTGATGATGTGTTAAAACTCAAACACATCTAGTACGTGGTGAAAAAAGCCTTGAACCTATGATCCAAAATGCCAGTTGTGTGTAAACCCCTTCTGCCAGTTTCGAAGCATCAACTTTCTGTCAATAGACTTTATACTGGATCAGTATTGCCTGTCCCAATCTAAATATCCACAGTTATTGCAACACCTTTTGCTCATTGCCACCCAGAATCATGCCCTCCACTGGCTGCTGTTCTTCAGCCCTGTGCTTTCACTTTCTTTTTAAAGTTTGCCTCCACGGGGCTTTTGTTAGCTGTGGTGATCTGCACTGAACCTTGCTTTGCAGCTGATGTCTGCATGTGCCTTTCTTTGCTTTTCTTTGAATGAGACCTCCTGTTTTGTATTAGATTTCTGCACCACTGAAAGACTTCGGATTTTCCGAAGACAGCACCTTATTACCAATGCAAGGCATCCATGCATTGTATACAACATTCTTATCTTCCTGATCCAGTCTTGTCTGGTGGAGTCCACACTGGATAGAGATAGAGGTAGCAGCATTAGTCCTGCCAGGGCTCTGGGTAGGAAGGCTGTTTTGCAGCAAGGTGCCGCTTTCTGAATCCTTGTTGCAGAGATGCTTCAGCAGGGGCAGTGAGGGAACGGCACAGAGACAAGGCTGGCTGTCCTTAGAAGACCTACAAGAGGACTGAGGTTGTCAGTGGCCTGTCCAGCATCAGGGCAGGGAAAGCTTGCTTGTGCTACAGGAAACCTGACTGGAGTGCGAAAGATGAGGAGGTGCATGAGTGCAGTGGTGGTTCAGTAACAGAGCCAGTCCACCTGATCCCCCAAAAAGGGGAATCCCAAGGATAAGGACCAGAGCCTTGAGGGAGAGAAGGCCCTTGAGGAGCATGGTTGAGTGTCTTCTTGTTCCCAGGTGACCACAGGAAGGTCCTAAAACTGAGGACAGAGCCACCAGAGCTTACCAGAGCCCAGGTGAGAGGCTCATTTCCCATGTTTTCTCCACCCTCTTTTGAAAATGTTTCAAGTGCAGTGTAGCACTGATACCTCTGCTACTTCTTCAACTGCTCCATTCTACACCGCTTCCGATCTCTGACGGAGCCAAATAGTTCACAGGGAGGCTCTTCTGCCCAAAACATGTACACCTGATCCTCCCTACTTGTCTGGAGGGTCTGGTCAGGCCTGTTCCACCTGCTGATCCCCAACATCTCCTGGGAAACTGCCTGGCCCTCTAGCCTCAGGTTCCCAGGAAATCCTGCAGATCCCTGGTCCCAGAAATGTTCCTTTGGCTGTTGTGAGGTCTATAGGAGCAATTAAAACACCTGAATGCAGACAGACGTGTGTGTGCATGTGTGTGTATACACACAGGAAAACGCTTTGATGAAGAGAAACTAGCCTGGGCCTCTACTTAACACTTTCTATCCTCACCTATCATTCCTTCAGCCTCAGTCTGTGTATCACAGCTCACACAGTTGCACTGCAGCTCAGCACAGTGCCGTATGGCTCCTTGTACCAGCCCTGAGATGGCTTCCCTGCTAAAGTCTCTTTCTACCCAGTTGTCCAGAGTCTTGGTAGCAAAAGAGCTGTTCTGGAGACCAGCTCTGCCAGTGCTGGGAACCAGTTTGCCCCAAAGCGCCCAAAGGCAGCTGATGCGTTTTCATCCCTGTCTGTCTCTTACTGATGCCCAGGCATTGAATCAGAGGTATAGTGCAGAGACCTTTGCAGAAAGACATCTGCCACAGAGCTAGCCCAGGCAGCATAGAGATGCTAGCAGCAATCATCCTAAAATAACCCAGTGGAGGAACACAGCTGGGGGGAGGATGGTGGCTTCATTTTCTTGCTCAAGGAGAATAGAAACCTGTGGTTGAAACCAGATAGCAAGGCCCAGGTGTGCACCCCATCCTGGAGGCTGGCTGCTCTGTGGTGGCCCAGGAGTAAGTGTACTGGGGGAAGTGGGAGCTGCCTGGTTGGCCATGGGAAGCACGTTATGGGTGACTGCTGCTCACAGCTTGAAGCAGAGTTTCTTGCTCTTCTCTTGTATGCCACACTTGTGAAGTGGGATGGGCATTGGGAGATACTTCAGGTGGTAAACACACACTGTGTATAGGAAAGTCATTCCCTGGCTCTTCAGCACCTGACATCCCTCATACCTTTAATCATCCTCTCCAGCCACATTTTCTAGACCAAGTCAGTAATGTAGCACCAAGTCTGCCAGGGATCGTATCTTGGAGTAATGGAGATGAGATGATTCAGGAAGCACTGTAAGGTAATGAGAAGGATTTGTAGTCCTAGCTGCTAAACTGTCTCCTTACTTTCTCCCCCACTGCTCTCTGTTGCCCATGTTTTCCAGGTCCAAAGTTCTTTTATTTTTCTTTTTTCTTTCTCTCTTCCCTCCTCTCCCCCGCCACCTCCGGTTTCCACTTTCTTTTAATTAAATCCTTTTAATGTCTGCTTGTACTTAAACAGTGTTGAGATGATTATTTCTGAGGATGGGATATCAAGGGTTGCAGAAAGCCTAGAACAAAAGCGGTTGAATGTGAAAAATTCAAGAAATGCAGTATGTGTGGAAAGACTTACTGCTTCCTTCTCATTTCTGCACAGAGTTATAAGCAGCAGCCCCAGTGAATGTCGCATAGCCAGGATTTCCCCTAAGCTCAGTGGTGTATGCTGGTCCAGAGAGATCTAGTTCCATGTGCCAAAGCCCCACCAGCTGTCTTCTCTTCCTCATGTCATGGATATTGTTCAGGACTATTGTTCAGATGAAGGGGATGCAGGTAACGCAGTGAGGATTATATTCCTGTCTGGCCCTCCATCTAGTCTGATGATCAAGTACAGAACCACACAGACACTGTAAGAATCATTGTAACAGAAGAGCTCTGGCAGTGTACGAGGTTGCAGGGGAGCAGGCTAGATGCAGTGTGGGACAGCAAACAGCGTATCTCTGCCTCATACTGGTAAAATTAACAAGGTTACATGATCTCAGTAATTTGGCAGAGACTTTGCATCACTGCAGCTTGAGCCAGCTCTGCTGAGGGATCCAGTAATATGCAGCTCTGGCACTAGGGCTGCTGAGGCCTGAGTGATGAGACCTGCAAATTAGACCTGCAATTTATTGGAGGTTTTTGTGTATAATGCCTTAATGGTAATATGGACATCACTTTTTGCTTTTGAGAAACAGAAGAATTTTTCCTCAATTGCATCCCTTACCGTTCTGCTGTCTCATTAGTGTTAAATGTGCTTCTTATTCATTATTGGAGTGACGCTATTGTAATTTATGCCTAACCCAACCAGGTTTCCTGGAGAAGACACACCCTTCCTATGTATTTATTACCTAATTGCACAGAGAACTGTGAGAAACTATGTATCTGAATATGGCACAGCTTACCTTTTTCCTCAGCCTCAGAGAAGTTCATTGTCATCTCTTCCCTGATCCTGAGTTTTACCTTTCAGTGAAACTCAAAGAAAATATGCAAAAATCTGCTTTTACTTACCATTGTTTGTGCCTATGTCAGGTACTACACCAGGAATATCTGTTGCTTCTCTGTTTTTTGAGGTGGAGATGGACCACCACCTAGACAGGTTTGTTGGCTAAAGGGGCAGCAGGACCCTTCCTGTGCTGTTCCAAAGAGGGGATTACCCAGTTACAAGCACAGTAATCATCTGTGGTCATTACAGTCCTACAGAAAGTATGGGCAACTGGTTTCTTAATATTCATCTCCATGTTCGCTTCCTATGCTCTTTGCCAGCTGATTTCTCTACCTTTTTGTTTTGACACTATTATCTAAATGTAAAGTAAATTTATCTCCTTTCCCTGCTGGCTGTAGATTAGGTACCATTTGGGGTAGATATCTTTAGAGTTGTATAGGTGATCTATCATTTATTCCACACCATTCAACACTCTATTGACCAGGGCAGAAGAGTTCATCTTTCCTGTAAGTACTGAAGTTACAAGTGTTGGAATGAATGGACAAATGGACTTCTGGGATATATTACAGTTAGTGTCCTGCTCTTTCTGCATTAAGACCCCCTTCCATCTTCCTCAGGTCCTGAATAAAACCGTATCTCTGCAACTATAGGAATGAAGGGGAAAAAGATTCTAAGATCCATTTATCCCTCTCAGCAGGAGAGGTGGAAGCAGGCCTGTTGCAAAACATTTTCATCTTGTCTACATCACCACAAGATACAAATAAACAGGAACGTTACTTTCCATCACTTGCCTTCCTTTCTCTGGATGAAACCATTCATTTCTTGACAACTGCTTGTCCTCTGTAGCAGTTTTTTCTTCAAATGGGGTTATAATATTAAATGGATGTTTGGGACAATGCTACCCAGAATATTCAAAGGCCTCCAATGGGAATGTCAAGTATTAGGGGAAAAGAGCCAGAAAAACAGTAGGAGGTAATCTGATAGGCATATGAGCAGCTTTTCTGCAACAGCAAGGCCTTTTATGAGAATGAAAAAAACAAAACTCTTATGACTACCTTACCACCACCTCACCAGCAATAAACTAGACCTCACAGATGATGTGCTGGTAGTGTTTTCCTTCTTCTACATATAGTCCAAAACCACAGCAGGATGTTTCTATTTGTGGAATTCCAATATTACACAAAAAAGACTGAGTAGAAAAGTAGAAGAAACGTGGACAGAATACAAGAGTTCAGGTTATTTGGTAGGGTGATCCATGTTGCCAAGACAAACCAGAGATATTTATTTGTTGACATTTTGTCCCTAACACTGTGTCCTTTCTATTCATTTTTATTCTGGCTATAACTAATAGTTGTCTGTCTAGAGATCTCTTGGGATGTAGTCACATTACTATTTTGCTGCAGAACACCCCTGGGGTATAGAATTGTATTCAAGAACTGTTTAGGTTGTGGTAAGATTTCTTCATAGAATCATCAAAGAGTTTGGGTTGGAAGGGACCTTAAAAATCATCTAGTTCCACCCCCTCTGCTTCAAACGGTTCTTAAGAAATTGAGGATCTTCCTACCTTAACTGCAGCTGTGAAGGACTTTTAACCATGGTAACAAGGTTGTCAGTCCACATGCAAGAAATCAACAAATTTAAGGAATCTTGTAGAAACACAAAGAATTGATATTGGTTATATTGCTTTTTGTAGCTCTCTTCTTTTTGTCAGTCATTACAAAGGGAATATGGGGACTAGCTGTCCTTATTTCCATGCCTAAAATTAGAGAAAGAAAGCTCCCTTTGGATACTGTGTGGTTGATTCAGTCTTAAATCAGTTCTTCTGGACTTTATTGTTTTCGTCCTCTGGGACCAAGCCCACTGTTACTTGCCTTTGCCCTTTTCCCCTGAGTACATTCATGGGGGTAGGTGCGCATGTTGTATTCATATCCTTGTGTTATCTTTCTGCCAGTAGTGTTCCTCCCTTCTGTTTTTTTCTCCTGCCCTCAAGTCAGTGTACAATATCAAGTGCATCTGTTGCTTATTGATTTATGCAGTGCTCTGAGACTACTCTACAGAAGCCTTTTACAAGCAGGGAACACTTCATTTATAACTAAAATACTGGGACCGCTCAGCTGTAACACAGCAGCCGCATAACAGCACTGGTAATGCTACTCAACAGCTCTCAGAGAGAAACTGAAGAATACCATGTCTAATTGAAGCGACAAGGGATTGTTTACTACTAACTGTGGGAAGAACGTAATTGCTTATGTTGGAAACTGGTCAAGAACCTAGGGTTAACATTTCTACTTACAAAACTCATGCTGGGACCTTTAAATGGCTACTGCTAATTATGATTACCCCAAATAACACTGCTTAAACCAGCTTTTACTATCACATCACACCATCAACTTCATTATTATTAATGCATCCTTCAGACTGCTCTTTTTGCAGTCTGCTACACAACAAAGTAATTCACAGAATGCTAATACAGCTGTACCCAAACTGCTTTAAATCAGTGGTTTGGACATGAAAAAAGTCCAAAATGAATACAACTCCTGGTTTCAGGTCAGATTTATTTGTGGCAAAATTTAGAACTGTTTGTTAGAAAATATAACTTGAAAAGAAAAATGGTTCAAATGGTATGTGGATTTCTTTTGTGAATTTAGCTCTACTGTCCTGAGTCTGTAAAGAAAGAAAACAGATAGAAATCTTTGCTATGTTGTACAGTGGCTAAAAAGATTCCTGTAAGCTTTGGGGAATAAGGTATCATAGCTTGTGTCCATCTGCATTTTATTCACCAATTTCTCCCTACTTCCATATGAAGTAGGAAGGAATTCCTTCCTACTCTTCCTACTCCTACTCCCTACTCTCCCTACTGTCCTACTCTTCCTACTTCCTACTCCCTACTCTTCCTACTCCCATTCATTCTTATTCTCTGTTTGCCCCAGGGAGGCTCATAGCCAGATGGGACTTTGCAGGTTACCATTCGAGCTCCACAAATGCATTTAGGCTTACATGACCAAAGTGGTTGCAGTTTCATTAACTGTCAGTCAGGTTGACTGAGGAAAATTTGACTCATAATGTCTAAGTTTGAAAGATAATCACTAATGATGCATAGCAGATGCCTTTAAATGTGTTTTCTTTTTGTACTTCTCCATTAAACATCATTTAATGATATTAATGTCTTTAGATTAAAGTAAAAAAATATAGCTTTTTAAGTCTAAATTCTCTATCTGTTATTTTAAATAACAGCCTATGCAGGAAATAGCTACCCAGAGGCATAAGAAATGCAGACAGACATGTTCAAGCATATTCCATCTCTATATTCAAATCCACAGCTCCCACAACTTCTACCCAAAGCTTCAATGGTCAATACCTTTGGCAGTGGGCTCCAGAGCTGGTGAGATGTGGGTTTTGCCAGACCTAGGGATGGAAGGGCAAATCCTATCATCCTGTTGTGTTGTGAAGCCCTTGCTGCCTCTTGCACGATAGGAATTCCAGCTTTTAATGCTTTCCAAACAGCCAGGGACATCCCCAGGTAATGTAATTGTGGCCAGAGACAGTGCTTTAGAGCCTGTCAGCAGATCAGGCGGCAGCCAGTGCAGAGCAGAGGGACTACAATAGGTGTCCACAGTCAGTGACTCTGCTCTGGGTCTCTTACACTTGGGTTTGATGTCTGGGGTGGTTTGGAGCTTCCGCAAAAGAGATGTTCAACATGAAGCATGCAAGTATGCATATTCGCTTTAATGGGACCGCTCCTGTGCCTGAAGTTTAGTGTGTCTGTAACTACTTGAAGGAATGAGGCTGTAAGTTTTAATTTTACAAGGATGTCAGTAAAGGCTTCTGCTAAACCAGCAAGCAGCAGGGAGGTCTGGGTGCAGACAGCCCTTCCAGTGATTTACTGCAGCATCTTTAACAAGTTGCTTCCCCCCCAGCCCTGTCCCTGTCTGTGGAAGGAGCATAATAGAGATTCACACTCTCACACTTGGAAAGCAACACCCACAAAGAGTTACCAGCTTGTTTTCCTGAGGACACTGTCACAGCAAATGCGATGATCTAATAGCAAGAGCTCTAACAAATTAGATTATCTCTCCCTAGAAGTGTTGCCTCTCATATCTTTAACTGATCACATCTACAAAAATGCTAGAAATACTCAAAAGAGATTATCCAGAGATCTGGGGAAAATTTATCTCCCAACCCAGCCTCTTGCTCCACTGTTCTCAAAGTACCAGCCAGAAATATCAATGTCTGCAAGTAACATCTTCCCCTTGAATAGATCTGTGCCTATGATATTATCTCATGTACCCACAGACATTCCAAGACATGGGTTTGCTTTATGTGTGTATTTCAAGAAATTATTTTATTCATTTCTGCAGAGCTAAGAGAGCTCTGTGATGAATAATAGTTCTGTGTTTGCAGAATTTATATTACTAGTCATTAGAAGGATGAATGTTCCAGTCTGCTGAAGATTTTGAAATCTGATGCTTCTGAAGAGGAATAAACTTGAATGTTTTAAAGCATTACAAAGAAGGACTTCGGAAAAAATACTTTAGGTAAATACAGATTGTTCAACAGAGTGCAGTATTTTATGTCTGCGCTTACTTGATTTTCTGTATTAAAATATATAATAGAAGGTAAACATAATTGGAGAGAAAATTCATTTGTGCAGTTAATGAGGCATTTTTATTTATGAATGCAATAAATGAATGAAAGAAAATATTTCACAGTCCAAGAATGTATGGCCCCATCAAAGTTTCTTTATCCAGTTCTCTTGGGAAAGATCCTTAAGACAATAGATAAACTCAGGCTCAAATACAGAGATACTCACAAACCTGCCTCAGCTTTTGGAGATGAGAGGCTGTTACAGCCCTGTTCTTTTGATTGTTAAGCTGAGCTTGACTTAAAATTCCCTGAGGTGCCACAAACATGCAACCCTGATCTTTTGAGGCTGGGTTTCAGGCCAGTAGCACTCGCAGCCTTGGCATGTGGCTGGGGATGCTGCAGGCTGACAGGGACAGTGGGCTAGCAGCAGCAGTGTCTGGCTGAGTGTGACAGGGGGAAGGTGCTTTTTGTGTTTGTGGAGGTCACGCCTGCCATGTCTACCATAAAACACCCACCTCTGGTACATGACCATGTGGAAGATGCATTGGAGAAGCCATGTGTCTGACACTTTGAAATGCATGTGACACATCCCAGAAAAGGGTGAGGCTTTGGAGGAATACAGATATTTAGCCACCAATTTTTGCTGTTGCATGCAGGTAAAATACTTTTGGAGGGAGCTGTGAAGTTTGGTGCTATGCACTGATATGGACCTCCCAGGCAAAAGCTGAAGCTCCTCCTGCACTGGCTTATGCTGCCCTGGCTGATGGAGCTTGTTTCTTGGCTGACATGTTAGCAATTTAATATTGTTTTTCAGTTGGATTTATTGGGAATTAGGATAATGTCTTTAAACATGCTGCAAAGCTTCTCTTATTTCTACTGCACCACTTGGGATTAGAGTGCTTTAATGGCTGCTTACTGAGAAGAGTAGTTTTGGAAACCTGTTCTGGGTACATGAAATCCCTAGGAGGCAGGTTGTGGTCCTAGTAAATATCAGCTATTTCATGCTAAGTTAATGCTGAGAGGTTAATTCCTTATTGTTCAGTATATGTTTTATTTCATCTAAATAACCATCTAGAAAGTATCAGAAATAATTTGCTGCATAATACAACATTAGAAGGCATTAGGCAATCCTGAAACGCCTACTGCAACAGAAAATAAAAGGAATATGACACCAAATTAAGACAACCTATACAATATAAGTCATACAATATGAAGTGTATAGTGTATCTGTGAAAAAAAATTAAGGTATTTAATTACTGACTGAGTAGATTACACCCAACTACAAAAATCATAAATACTTGTGGAGATAAACCCTGGATTAGTTCTGTGTACTAACAGTGACGGAAATAAGGCGATGAAAATTTGTCTTCTGAGGTGGCTTTTTGTTATTATAAATGAATCATTAACCTGACACCTTCCACCAACAGAAAATGTAAATGTTCAGAGGAATCTCGTTTTTAAAAAGTTATTTACAGCATTAAAGTCCTTTCAATCTCCAGTGGGTGGAGAAGGGGTTGGAGTTTGTCATCATTATGGAGTACCAGTCAGAGGATACTCAAGAAGTGTGCAGAGCCAGGATGCGGTATCACAGATCCAGAGGGATGTTGCTTCAAGATGAGGATTCCCAATAACCAAATTAATATAACCAAACCATTTAAACCCCATAAGATTTGCAGGGATTGCTCTCCTCTTCCCCACCCCATTTTTATGTTTGAAGTTTTGCAGGAGGTATCTTTACATATCTAGCTAATTCCTGGTGTGGAGGTAATTTGTGTAATGGAATAAAAACGTTTTTTGATATGAACTGTATTTCTTCCAGGCTTTCATCTGGAAATCACAGCAAACTTCTTTTTGCTAACCTGTTTTCAGCTGTTACTCATTCATGTTTCCATTATGCTGCTCCAGATAAGTTTGGAATTGATACTTAGCTTGTAACATCATCTCAATGTCTACTGCTGAAGACCTGGAAAGCAAAGATTACAGACCTCTTTAAAGCAAGTAGGCTTATAGGGCATTTGGCTGATGTCTCAACATGACAGAATCAGCTGCCAATGCTTTTTGCTTGCAACTTCTTTGCAAATGGTGCTGGCAACTGGGACTACCTGGCAGCCCAGTAACCTAAGAGAGCCCAGAGATCTCCCATCCCACAACATCAGGGCTCAGGATGCTGTATGGGAAGCTAGCAAGAAAGATTGTGCTTTGCAATGAGTCTGGATGGGACCCTGCAGTGGCTCTCACAGTTGGTTTTGGTGGCGTCCCAGAAGGGAGCAGAAGTTAGCTGGACAGTGCAGCATACATTCACATCTCACTGCCTGACCTGATACACAGGAGAGGTTATGGTGCAGGCTTTTCCCCTTGCCATCACTACAGGTTGCCTCATGGGTCAGGGGTGAGGACCTGTGAAGGGACAACACTGGGTACCTGTAGCTTTATTCCCCCAGCTACTCAAGAAAATGGGAGGTGGTCATTGGCCAAAGGACTCTCCAGCTCTTTCCCTTCATGTTAGGCAGAAGACAAACTACTGCACAGAAAAGGACAGGATAAGAGCTCTGCTGCTCCAACTTCCTCCAATGAATTTTCCTCTACACCTTTGCCTCGTGACTAAGTTGATGTTGTAAGAAAGCCATCTGTCTGTGTCATCAGTTTCCTACCCAAGCAGAAAGCCTATTCAAAATTCAGCTATTTTTGTGTTCATAGAACAATAATATGGATCGTGGCTATATTTTTATATGTGATGTAACGTAGAGCATGCCATTTAGCTTGTGCTGTGTTTGGGTTGGGTTGGGTATGAAAACATCTCTCGGGCAAAAATTTTGCAAAATTCCTTGGCGTAGAAATTCCAGCCCTTTCAGTGAGACGTAGGTGCCATGTAGAGTGGATCTTGCTTTCTTCAAGCAGTTAGAAAGGGCAGATGCAACATATTCATATAGGTAAGATAAGGTAGTTTCTGCACAGCTATGTCAAGAATGACTTCTGTTTTTCACAGCAGTTTTATTCTAGCCAGTGGCTGGCACCAGTAAGGGAAAGCAATTTCTGCCTAATTTGTTCCTCTTTGGTTACACAGCTTGGATTACAACTACAAATGTAATGTTTTTTTCTGTTTGTTTTTTTTTTTTTTTCACAGATCCAGCAGGAAATCTGCCCACTTACACTTTAGAGGTATTGATGGTGTCTTATCTGTCAAATCAGATTCAAGATCAGAATGTACCAGTACAATAATCTAAACTGGCTTTTTCTATAACACAAGTCAAAGAAACTCAGATACTCTTTCCTTATGAACCCCCAAGCATCTGTTGTATCCACAAGATATTTTTTTTATTCAGAAAAAAATTAAATTAAGGATCACACATTATGAAGAATACATCAGAGCACTTGTTAATTTGTTCTGTAGTTAATCCTCCTAATGCTTAAAAATGTGCCTTATTTATAGATGGAATTTATCTAGCTCCTGGATATCAGCATGCTTTTTAACTTCTGGAGTATAGGGTAGTTGTCTACAGCAAATCCTTTTTTCTATATGGGCTCTTGTAGATCATGGTCAACACCTTTCGGTTCCTTAAATAAAGTTAATAAATAAGCTGTTTGAGCATCTCACTAAGTTTTATAGACAAAATTGCTTTTGTGGCCTTCTTCTGAGCCTTTTCCCGTTTTTCAAAATCGTTCTCCCAGTGCATCTATCAAGCCTAGACACACTGACTACATCTAGAATAGTACATTAAACAGGAAACATTTCTGGGAGCTTGAACTTGATTGCCTCGGTGTTAAATTGTTAGCACAGGGTCTGGTGTGGTTTTGGTCTGGACCAATGAGACAGATTAGCTCTGGCCAGACAATGTCTGAGCCCAGTTTAGGGTTAGCACAAGCCAGCAGCCATTCCCAACAGGCAGGTCATCTGCAGCCACTGTGGTTTAGAAATCAAAGACAGTTTGCAGGCATAGAAATGGACCATTTCATGCCAGCATCCTCAGTGTGAGCAGGTAGCACAGGGTGCTTGTAATTTACAATTCTGTGTCTGGCAAAGACACAGAAAGCTGGTAGTCTGGGGTGGCCTTATGATGCTGTATTTTGAGAGGGAACACCACCTTCTTGTTCCTCTTTGTTATCCAATGTTCACGCCTCCAGATCTATACTCCTCGCCACCCTGCTGCTCTTGGAGCTTGTACTGAGTTTATTATCTACCATGTTCTCCAAAATATTACCATTGTCCAAGGATCCCATGACATTGGATATCTATTTATTTATTTATTTTACAGTGGGAGGGTAGTAGGGATAAAATTCATATTTCTAAGGGCATATTTTTGAATTTGTCTATGTATGATATTTATCTGAGCACCCTTTATGAATGTGGGTGAGCTGTCCTACATAAACATTCTGCTCACATCACAATGCACCATTTTTACTAGAAATTAATTTAGAATTTCCTTCAGAAAGTAGTACTAATAAATAAAAAATCATGGATAGCATTATGCTAAGAAAAGATCTTTCTGGGAACTCCTAGCAATCATAAAATTTCAGCAGGGGAATGTTTTGCCTCTTGCCATTAATCTTTGGGACATATCAGATACCTTACTGTTAACATGTGCCTTTGGCTACATGGATTTCATATAACCTTGTTATTTTAAACTGGGGTGCTGTACACTTCCCCTACAAAGGCCTCAGAAAAGTATTTACGGTCAAGCTAGCAGTGGGAAGGAGGGAAAATAAGACCTTTCACAGAGGGCAGTAAGGGTGATGGAGATAAGTAGAATCCAGCCAGCTCTGGATTTCAGCCCTCTGGAGAATTTGTCACTGCGGGAAAAGTACGTGAATTGAAAATCCTCCTAGATTTGTAAACAGGGATTTTTAGTGATAATGAAAACATGTTTGGCTCTCTCCCAGTTGCAGAAAAATTGAATTCCTGGCCTGAAGTGAAACGATTTTTTTCTCTGGTAATTTCAAGATCTGAACTACATTTTCATCATTCATCATCATGTGGAAGTTACTTGTTCGTCAGCTTCACACCATCACTTAACTGGTTAAGTCAATGCATATTTCAAATCGTCTCCTGATAGTTTCAAGTGAGGAATTAAGATCTTCTGGGGTTATGAATGGCTGTAAAATTTTCTGCCGCAACAATTAAGTAACTCAGCAGTGGGTTTCTGCAGCTCTGTTAATGCCAGACCACAGAATGATCTGTGGCATCAAAATCAAGATGAGTATGTTTGAGGACAAAGTCTGTGGCTTAAACTCTTTTTATATTAGAGTTGTGTTACAATAAGCTAATGCTTTTGGTCAGCTGTCAGGTGGCAAGGTTTTAAGATGTGCTCTAAACCCAGCCAAAACCAGGACAACTAATTTGATTGATTACAAACTTATCACCATACCATAAGGTATCTTAGTGCAATGCCTCAGTCCATATCTAATCTGTATTGTTGTTGACTTCAGAGGATAGTCATGCCTTAACCAAGATTTCAGTGAGGTTTAAAAAAAATATTCTACGATAGCATTAATGCTATGGTTGTGCTACTCGGTTGTTTCTCAGATGTTGGGTTGTGACCACTTGGGATACATACAGAGGGGAACTTTTCAAAAGGCAAGCCAGCAAAGTGTTAAAAAGAGGGTGTTTTAGTGACAGTGTGCAGCACCTCCAGTGTAGGGGATCAGAGATCCTTAAATTTCTTTCACTTCTAGGAGAAGCCCTGTTCCTCCAGGATGGGGAGGGATTACACCTTTGATCAGTGAGGAGGGATAGTCTGCTGAGCTGCAGCAGAAACAGCAACACCGTAGGAAATGTCAACAGGACTTCCAAAGCAGGGAGACTGCGGTGGTAAGTCTGAGAGATCCTGAGCTCAGCTGGATTTGAGAAACCTTGTTGTAGGTACCAAATATGTCTTTCTGCTTAGCAAATCATTTCTTCCCCACATCCTGAAAAGAAAGAATGAAACCATGTCTGCAAATAAGTTTGCAAATGCCAGAAAGCACCTGAAATTTTGACACACCTTCAACAGAGCTCACCTCCAGGTTATTTCACACTGAGGGACTTTTTTTCTGTCCTCTTCCTCATTCCACTTCTTCCCCCCCCCCCCCCCCCATCCCAGCTTGGCAGGCTTTTGATACTAAAGGTTGCTGGGTTGTTTTCTTTCCTTTCCCCACCTATCTTTCCTGCTCTTTCCTCCTCTTCCTCTTTTTCTAAAAGGCTGCAGAAAAGGTGGTGTGGTTTTAAGGTACGGAGCCCTAGTGGAAGAGGCTGGAAATTTACACTTTGAATTTATCAGAATCCTTTGCACATCTTGCCCTTTGCACCTCTGGTAAGCGAGGGGTGTTTCATATGGCTGCATGGCTTGGCTGTGTCCCAAGGACAGAACAAGGAGCCAAGTTAAGCGTTCTGTGAAAGATCATTTTCAGGCTGGTGGAGTGTTCCTGCAGAAGGGATTGAACTAGGTTTTAAAGTTACTTTTAGGCAACTAGGGAGTCAGGCAGATTCTGGGAAACTTGCAGAAGAAAATGGCATTGCTAGCTGTGCTGAGCATTTACAGATCTGGAAGCTTCAGCTCAACTAATGAATCTCTTCTGCTTTTGCAGTTGGTCTTGTCTATGGTCTACTGGTACTTCTTATCAATAGTGGAGCACCTCAGGATTAAGTATATGTATCTGCAAACACCCAGGAGAGCACCCAAAACCGCACCTGAGAGCTTCTAAAATATGACAGTGTCTTGCTGTCTGCAAAAGGGCAACCCCCTGACACTGAAACAGAGGAAGTTTTGCTCAAATCATGTCATCAGGTGTTGGCCTTTTCTTGATATTAGTGTTTTGTGTATTTTTTCCTATTCAGGGAGTGGGAAGAGGAACTGCATTGTCACAGAGAAGGATGATTTACTGCTCCTGTTGTCCATGGAGCAATCCACCCCAGTGGATCACTTGGATTGCACCCCTGGATGGCTGCAGCTCTGCAGTACCAGCGCTGCTCTTGCAAAGCAAAGCCTGCATCCGTTTATGATGGGGAGGTGGAGTCATTTTAACAATTAAATAGCACCATCTGCAGGCACCGAACACCCAATGGCCCTGCACCAGCACAGCAAGTGTGCAGACACTTCAGTCCTCCACACCTGTGGACACTGCCTTTGGCTGCTGCCCACAGCAGCATATACAGCGTGTCTGCTGACCCTCTGGCTCTCCTGGTGGTGGTCCGGGTGGATGTGCCAGATGCACAGCTGCAGGCACAGGCACGGTGCGTTTTGGGCTGCACTGACCTAGTCTCTGCTGGCAGTGAATGTGTCCTTCAGGGTAGGCTGCACCAGGAGGGTGTTTGACTAAGATCTCATGAAGCACAGTTCAAGGTGTCATTTTTACAGGAGAAATCTTCATCTTTGGTTATAGCTGCTTTCTGGAAAACATCAGCAAGGGCTTTTTACGACTTCCTTTGCCCACTACTCAGGGGCAGCAGGAGCACCCTGCTGTGCTATTGCAGTGTGGAGGCTGACCTGCCCCTTCCAGGAAAACCACCACCAGGAAAGATGTGCCTAGCAGGAAGTAGGATTCACTCTGTGACTGTGAATGTGCTGACTCTCAGACTCACTTTTCCATTGAAATGAAAAAAAGAAAAAGGAAAAGAAAAAATCCTGCTCCTACACTTCATAGGTGTGCGACAGACCCAGCAAGGAAGAAAGAGAGTGAGATGCAAACTGATGTTTTAACATTTATAACTTTCCCTTTAAATCACAGACTTCTCTTATTTTTAAGCCTTCTGCTGCTGGCACATTAAAATGTCTGCTGAATCCCTGACTACTCTTAAATCATCAGCACTAGGTTGTGAACATTTTTCTGCTGATACCTGTCTTTTACTAATAATATCTCTGCTATCTTATAGGAATTCTGCTAAAAGAACCATGACTGGGTTGTTTGTTTTTTTTTTTCCCTTCTTTTTTAATGTTGAAGGTCTACCTCTTTATTTCCAATAAAGTGTTTTCCTGATATCCATCTGGGGAATTTTGTCTGCTGCCCAGCTGCATCTTTCCAACAAGCAGGTGCAATGAAGGCAAGTTTAGTACCTCCTCCGGGTATAATACCAATAGTTTCCTAAAAAAAACAACAAACAAAAAAACCCCCAACATGCCCAACAAAACCCAACACTTCAAAAAAGTCCAGTACTTCAGAAAAAGCTGTATGAAATAAGCCTCTGTAGAAGAGAAACACTTATGGCTCAAGGTGAAAGATGCTTTGCTCTTGGCCACTACTGTGCCCCCTCACCACCACCTTGGCTTGTGCCCAAAGCACTCCCTTGCTTGTATGTGTGTGTGTGTGTGTGTGTTTTGGCCAGAGCACAGATGGAGTTCACTGCTGTTGCCAAGACCCTTCTCCAGATGTTCATGGCAAGCCTGCAGCAGAGCTGGCTATGGGACCTTTGTTCTTCACAGGCTGGCCCAGTGGCTGCTATCCCCCATCCTGTCCTCCTGCCTGCTCTGGCCACCCAGGACTCCCACTGGGAACCCAGGCCTAAAACATTGCCTGCAGTGAGGGCAGCTCTGGTGCCCAGTGCCCAGATCTTTACATGGTCATCGTCCCAGTGATGCCACCCTGTGATAAAGGTCACAACAGTCTGGGTCTTCCCTAGAAGGACCTTAACAATGCCTGCTTCAAAGGATGTATAGGTAGTATGACTGATACACAGTGTGTGCCTTGATGCCAGGAGAGGTGACTGAACATCAGCTATTATATTGGGAGTGCTCTGTGGCTTCAGGCACTCCCAGGATTTCCCAGCCTAGCTAGGTGC